CTCCTGAACAGGGAAGGGGAAGAAATTTTGAGACACAGGCAGCACCAAGGTCCTGAGGCAGACAACTGTGTGGTGATTCCCAGAACAAGAAAGCAGGGGAGAGAAGGAGGTGTTGAGTCGGGGCCAGACCACCACACACGGGGAAGGATTTGTGTTTCTATGTAACAGAGAGCTAAATCCAGGGACTTAAGGAGGAGCCCTCCAGCATGTCATCAGGGACCGAGGCTCCATCTAGTTCTCCACTTCAACATCCTTAGGGTGTGGCTCTTGTCCTTATACTCACAAGATGGCTGCTGGAACTCCAGCCATCATGTCTGCATTCTAGGCAGGAAGAAGAAGGGCAAAGATAAGAGGGACAAGCAGTCAAATTTGACCTCTTTCAAAAGGCTCCACTAGAACCTTCAGCTGATATCATGAGCCAGCCTGTGTCACATGGTAATCCTTGACATCCAGGGAATGAGGTTTATTAGATGGCTACATTGCTGGTTGCTACAGAATCAGTTTTTTTTTGAGACAGAATCTCACTGTGTCATTCAGGCTGAGTGCAGTGGCCCAATCACAGCTCCCTGCAGCCTCGACCTCCTGGGCTCAAGGGATCCTCCTGCCTCAGCCTCCTGAGTTGCTGTGAATATAGGCATGCACAGCCATGCCCAGTTAATTGTTTTATTTTATTGTATTTTTTGTAGAGACAGGGTCTCCCTATGTTGCCCAGGCTGGTCTTGAACTCCTGACCTCAAGTGATCCTCCAGCCTCGGCTTCTGGAAGTGCTGGGATTACGGGCATGAACCACTGTGCTCAATCCAAAATCAATGTTCTATTAGTAAAGAAGAGAAGGGAATGGCGGAAGGGGTGTGACCTTTGTTCTGAGTGCAACTGGGAAGCCACAGAATGGCCTAAGCAAGGGGATGACGTGGAACAGGGAAAACAACTTCAGGTTGTCCCAACCGGGCCACGGTAACACACATCTGTGGCACGGATATTCCTTTCCTAGGGCTGCCAGAACAAATTACCACAATTTTGGTAGCTGAAAACAACAGAAATTTATTCACTTGCAGTTCTGGAGGCCAGAAGTCTGAAATCAAGGTGTCAGCAGGACCACGCTCCCTCTCGAGGCCCCTGGAAAGGATCTTTGCTTGTCTTGTCCTAGCTTCTGGATCTCCTGGAAATCCTTGGTGTGCTTGATTTGTAGACAGCGTCACTCCAATCTCTGCCTTCACTGCGACAGGGATCCTCCCTATATCTCCTCTGTGTCTCTGTATCCACATCTCCCTCTTAGTTTACAAAAAGACACGGTCATTGGATTTAGGGCCCACCCTAATCCGGTCTGCCTTCATCTTGACTCGATTCATCTGTAAAGACTATTTCCAAATAAGGTCACATTCATAGGTACCAGAGGTGCACACTTGAACATATCATTTTGGGTGACATGGTTGAAACCCACTACAGCATGCAAAAGGATGGAAGGGCTATCTGGTGCTGGCTGTGTTAAGGTGGGCCACTCGTTTTCCCCTCACCCACAGATCATAAGATAGCCCAGGATTTAGGGAGGCAAGTTTATTTCCCCAATTTTAACACATTGCAAAGCACTGGTCCCCCCACCCCACCTCCAGCAAACACTTCCTAAGCACGGAGGAAGTGAGGGACCTTGAGCCATATAGGCACAGAGGTGACTTTGCCCATCCCTGCCCGTCAGAGGCTCGTAGTTCAGGGGCAAACAGATATTTAAATAATGGGCTGGGCTGGGTGTGGTGGTGCACCTGTAATCCCAGTTACTCGGGAAGCTGAGGCATAAGAATCACCTGAACCCAGGAGGCAGAGGTTGCAGTGAGCTGAGATTGCGTCACTGCACTCCAGCCTGGGCAACAGAGTGAGAATCCATCTCAAATAAATAAATAAATAAATAAATAAATAAATAAATGATAATAATAATAAAAGATGGGCTGAATAGCATCTAAACTTGGTTTCCTTTCTTCAGGCAAAATTTTAAGCCAACTGATGTCTCTTAATATAAACCACTTTTTTGTTTGAATTCGGGGGAAGAGGGCGAGTTGTAGCTATGGCCATGGCAGGTGGTGCCAGGAGAACCATAACCAGCTGCAGAGTTGGGGTCCTGCAGACTATCAGATGTACAGTGTTGGGCAGGGCCCCTTATATTTTTTTTGCTTGGAAGTGGTATAAAAACCGCTCACCAGTGAATCCAGGAAGCAGGCTGGGAGGCGGCCATCGGACTCTTCCTTTGTGTAGCTCTCTCTGCACAGATTGCTATGCAGGGAGCTTTGTTTTTTTGATGGGTGATTTTTTTTTTTTTTTAATGGAGATGGGATCTCCAGCAGAGATGGGTGGAGATAGGAGAGACAGAAACTGAGGAAAAAGATGAAGCATTAGGTCTCCTGGAGGGTGGGGAAAGGGGCAGAAACAGAGGGAGCTGCTTTCCCGAGGGAGGCCAAGAGCTCTGGGCAGAAGCAGTGGCTTCAGTGCCTGTAGGCAGAGCTGGAGAGCAGTGCATCCCCCTTTGGGTACCCTCCCGAGACTCCAGGGCTGATGGCTGTGGCAGCAATGGGAAGCAGCATCCTTGGCCCTCACCCCAGAGGCTGTGGCATCAGGGCAGCCCCCTACCAGGTGGCTTTATGAGTAAAACCAGGAATCCAACAAGAGTGGCCCCATGTGACTCTTGCAAATAGTACACATGAGTCACCCCTTGAGGACCCCCTGAAATAAGGGATGGTGGAGGCCACTTCCAGGGGGTGGAGGTCATTGGGGAGGTAGGGGTGGAAGGCCGATAAGAAGGCAGAGTTTGGCCAGGCGCGGTGGCTCATACCTGTAATCCCAGCACTTTGGGAGGCTGAGGTGGGTGGATCACCTGAGGTCAGGAGTTTGAGACCAGCCTGGCCAATATGGTAAAACCCCATCTCCACTAAAAATACAAAAATTAGCCAGGCATGGTGGCGTGCGCCTGTCATCCCAGCTACTTGGGAGGCTGAGGCATGAGAATCTCTTGAACTCAGGAGGTGGAGGTTGCAGTGAGCCAAGGAAATGCCATTGCACTCCAGCTTGGGCGACAGAACGAGACTCTGTCTCAAAAATAAAAGAAGGCAGAGTTTAAGCTGAGTGTTGAATGACTAGGAATCTGCCAAAGGGAGAAGGCAAGGGCAGCCATTCCAGACAGGAGGACCAGCGTGGGCAGTGGCACGAGTGACCACTGATGGCTTGAGGCCGTCAGGGGATTCTGGTCTGCGGGGGTGGGTGCACAAGGATGCACGAGGTGGTGAGAGGAGAGAGAAAGAACTAGAGAGAGGCTGGGGCTGGCTCATGGTGGGATCTTGCACGCCAGCCTAAGAGCTTTGGTTTTTGTCTGGAGGACAGTGTCTTGAGGGAGCCCTGGATAGCCTGTGAACAGAGAGAGGTGTTTTTGATTGGTTTGACTGCCCCGCTGAGGATGGGTGGAGGCATGGGCTGTCTGGAGGCAAGAAGGGAGGGCAGTGGCAGAGGGAATAGCCCCTGACACCAACCAACCATGCTTTATCTGCTCCTCTTCCCCCGGCCTGCCCTGACCCCAGGTCCCCAGAGTGTGTCACTTGTCGTAAGAGCAGAGTGCCTTCTGGCAGGTGAGGATGGCAGGAACCCCTTGTCCCCACTCATGCTGGGCCCAGGGCAAGGGCCAGCTGGGCAGCTGGCAGCCTGGCAGGGAGAATGTCATTTGCTCTGCTGTGTCTGCCACCACCACCACTGGGCAGCCTGATTAATGACCGAGGGCTCCTCACCGGTCCGCAGCCCTATCTCTGTGGCAGTGGCTGCCGAGGGAACCTGCCTGCCCTGCCTGCCTTCCTTCTGCGGCTGGTGCTCTTGGGCTGGCTCCAGGAAGTGCTTCCACATCGCCCCTCTCTGGCTTTTAAGTCTTTCCGCCAACCATTTCTCTGGCCTCCTTTAAACCCTGGCCCAAGTGCTCCTCTGCAGGAGAGCTTGCAGAATGAACCCCCAGCCCACAGCGTTCTGGCTTCTTTATTTATCTCCATCAGCACACAGCAAAGGCTCAGAGGTATGCCTGGAAGGAATCCTTGATGCTTCTCTCGCCTTCCCACCCCGTGGTGATGCTGTGTGGGCTCTGAGTTCTGTATCAGCTCTGCTTGAGGGTCTATGCTCCTTGTTTATACAAGTCCCATTCCAGACTGGCAACTCCCCAGGATCAAGAGGCAGCCTCCTCCTTTAGACTGGTGCCTTCTAAGGTCCAGATTTTCTTTTTTTTTTTTTTGAGATAGAGTCCACTCTGTCGCCCAGGCTGGACTGCAGTGGTGCGATCTTGGCTCACTGCAAGCTCCGCCTCCCCAGTTCAAGTGATTCTTGTGCTTCAGCCTCCCGAGTAGCTGGGATTACAGGCGTGTGCCACCAGGCCAGGCTAATGTTTGTATATTTAGTAAAGACAAGGTTTCACCATGTTGGCCAGGCTGGTCTCCAACTCCTGACCTCCAGTGATCTGCCGCGTCTTGGCCTTCCAAAGTGCTGGGATTACAGGCGTGAGTCACCATGTCCAGCTCAGATTTTTCTTTTCCATTACATAGGGTATTCTTCCAGGGCAGGGACTATGACTCTCCCTTGGCCTGGGAGTTCCCTGAAAACAAGGGCCCGGTTTGGGGCCATCCTGTCTGTTCCTCCCTCATGCCCCAAGCCAAGCTCAGCCTTGGTCATGGTCTGAAGGGATTCAGGGGCTGCCAGCCTCCTGGCTTGTCTGGGATCAGGAGGGTTGAGCATGAGTGCAGCAGGTGTGGATTTGACTGTGGCCAGGCCTGCTGGGGTACTCCTAGGGGCCAGCTAGTGAGCTGTCTGGGGCCAGGGGGGACCCCAGGGGGTCCTAGGCCTAAACCAGCCCTCGGGGCCACAGGTCCAGCGCCCTGGGAGGGTGGTGACTTCCTGTACCCGGAAGTCTGAGTGGGGAAGGACAGAGGGTGATTCCTGGAATGCTGACTACTCACGCCTCCTGTGGGCTTTATCTTTGGTGCTGGCAGGAGGACAACCACAGTTATTATGTGTCCCGTCTCTATGGCCCCAGTGAGCCCCGCAGCCGGCAACTGTGGGTAGATGTGGCCGAGGCCAACCGGAGCCAAGTGAAGATCCACACAATACTCTCCAACACCCACCGGCAGGCTTCGGTGAGTGCCCCAGTCCCCAGCCGTGCTTCTCTGGGCTGGGAGGCCGGGGGCCAACCCACCCTGCCTGGTCAGTGGGCGTGGCTGTGGCTCGAGGTCTGTGACCTGGGAGGTACCTTCCAGGGATTCCCATGGGACTTTGCCAGAGTTGGGGTGCCCAGTAGTGGCCCTGGGCATGCCTGCTCCCCACTCTGTCCAAACAAGCATGAGGCAGTGTGGGTGCCCAGGGCATGCTGACCTTCTCCCATCCCCTGCAGAGGGTGGTCTTGTCCTTTGATTTCCCTTTCTACGGGCATCTTCTGCGGCAGATCACCATAGCAACTGGAGGTAAGGCCACATCGTGGGGCCCCGGGGAGGGTTTGGAGACCTCAGCCCGAACTCAGGGGCCCTCCCAGGGGTGGCAAACTGGAGACAGGGTTGTGTAGATGACATGGGAGGAATGCACGTTTGGTTCTAACAGGAGCCTGATTCTCAGGAGTGGGGGTCAGTGGACGTCAGAGCATCCCGCTTGCATCAACTGACCTGCTCATGTGCGTGTGTGTGTGCGTCTCCTCGGGCCAGCACGAGTCAGTGTGGACAGCCCTGTGTCCCGGAGTCGCTGAATAAGAGGGAGAGGGAGACCCCTCTGAGAGCTTGGGCTCCTGGGGCCAGGCTCCCTATTGATAGGAGGCTTCTGTCTTTAATCCCTGCACTTCAGTTCCATATCCCACTTCCCCAGGGATGGGAAAAGCTGCGAGTCCCCTCCTCTTCCTGCCCCCTCACCCTAGAGTCTGTGTCCCGCTGAAGGAACAGGGAGGACCCTGTCTAGGGCCCTTCAGCTTCATACACACCAGACCCAGAGCCCGCCAGATGGGGATGGGCGACAGAGATCTCAGGCTCACTTCCAACTCCGCCCGCGCTGCCCTTGTTGCCCTTGGGGAAAAGGCCCCCAGAGCGGCCCCTCTGGGCCATTTCTGGTGACTCCTCTGCACCTCTCCCACCCTAGGCTTCATCTTCATGGGGGATGTGATCCATCGGATGCTCACAGCTACTCAGTATGTGGCGCCCCTGATGGCCAACTTCAACCCTGGCTACTCCGACAACTCCACAGTTGTGTACTTTGACAATGGTGAGACCGGATCTCAGAATTTAAGTCACCCAGCTCCAGGGATCCCTTGTCCAGCCCTCTAGAGGAGCACAGGGCCTAGAGAGGGCAAGAGTCCCGCAGTCCCACAGCAAGGCGGCCACCTACCTTTCTCTGCTCAGTTTTCTCACCTGTCAGATGGGGACAAAAATGCCTGCCATCCAGAAGAATCTGATGAGATAACAAAACAACAGTGCTTGGCTCTTAGTCGAGGTAGAATAAATGTTAGGGGCCTTTGTTGTTTCTTACTTTCACCAGGATGTTCCTTGAACCCCATCTGAAACCAGAAGAACAGACACTCCTCCTTCTTTTATCTCAAGGAGTCAGAATAGACTCCCAAGGAGGAAAGGGGAAGAGATGATCAAGTACAGGATCTTCTGGCTCCTCTGCTGCTCCGAAGCCAGGCTGCTTTAGTGAGCTGCCCAGCTCCCGCCTCCTTAAATTTGCAAACTTCCCCATCATCCCAACCTGTGGCCATCACCCTCCGGCTGGCATTTCTGTAGGGCCCTGCTCCTTGCATGATCTCCTGTCCAGCCGGGTCTCTGTTCTTCTCCCTAGGGACAGTCTTTGTGGTTCAGTGGGACCATGTCTATCTCCAAGGCTGGGAAGACAGGGGCAGTTTCACCTTCCAGGCAGCTCTGCACCGTGACGGCCGCATTGTCTTCGGCTATAAAGAGGTGAGTAGGCCCAGCTGCAGAGATAGCTGGGTCTTGGAGCCTTTCTTCATTCAGTAAATATTTAGAGAATTCACGATGTGCCAGGCATGGGACTTGCTGCTGGGAATACAGCAGTTAACAAGATGGTTGCAGGTCCTACCCTTTTGGAGCTGTAAGTCTGGTTGCAGAGATGGACAATAATTACAGGGACAAATGTAGAATCACCACTGTGACAAGCACTCCCAAGTAGAGGTGCCTGGTGCTAGCTGAGCCTTTCACACACCTCTTAACCTTGACAGAGGCCAGGGGAGGCTTTGCTGAGGAAAAGAGTTGAAATCTGAAGGTTAAATATGAGTTCAGGAAGCAAAGAGGAGAATGAAGTATGTTCCAGGAGAGAAAACAGCACATGCAAAGGTCCTGAGGCAGGACAGAGCATGGCTGGCACAAAGCACTGAAAGAAGGCAGCATGGGCCAGGCACGGCAGCTCATGCCTGTAATCCCAGCACTTTGGGAGGCTGAGGCAGGTGGATCATCTGAGCTCAGGAGTTCAAGACCAGCCTGGCCAACATGATGAAACCCCGTCTGTACTAAAATTACAAAAATTTAGCCAGGCATGGTGGCAGGCACTTGTAATCTCAGCTACTCAGGAGGCTGAGGCAGGAGAATCGCTTGAACCCAGGAGTTGGAGGTTGCAGTGAGCCGAGATCGTGCCACTGCACTCCAGCCTGGGCAACAGAGTGAGACTCTGTCTCAAAAAAAAAAAAAAAAAGAAGGCAGCATGGTGAGCCAGTGTGGTGGCTCATTACTATAATCCCAGTGCTTAGGGAGACTGAGGTGGGAGGATTGGTTTAACCCAGAAATTCCAGACCAGCCTGGGGAACATAGCGAGACACCCACCTCTATTTAAAAAAAAAAAAATAGCTGGGCGCGTTGACTCACGCCTATAATCCCAGCACTTTGGGAGGCTGAGGCTGGCGGATCAGGAGATTGAGACCATGCTGGCTAACATGGTGAAACTCCATCTCTACTAAAAATACAAAAAATTAGCCAGGCGTGGTGGCAGGTGCCTGTAGTCCCAGCTACTCAGGAGGCTGAGGCAGGAGAATGGCTTGAACCCGGGAGGCGGAGCTTGCAGTGAGCTGTGATGGTGCCACTGCTCTCCAGCCTGGATGACAGAGCGAGACTCTATCTCAAAAACAAACAAACAAACAAACAAACAAACAAACAAACAAAAAACAGAAGAAGAAGCAGCATGGCTGGAAGGGAGTGAGGGGCAGGGGATGGGGCAAGGGAACCACAGATTTGCCCTTGAGAAATGTCACTCTAGCTTCAGAGTGGAGAACAGGTTGTTGGGGGCTTAGAAAGAATACTGGGAAGTAATTTAGGAGAAAGGTGACAGCAGTTTAGAATAGGATGGGGGGAATGGAAAGAAACGGACAGATTTGAGAGCCACTTAGCAGGTTAAGCAACAGAATTTGCAGGTGCATTATCTAGATGGGTAAGGGAAGAAATGAAAGAAGGGAAGGGAAAAGGGTGAGCCCCAGGTTTTTGGCCTGCACAGAGTGCCATTCACCGAGACCAAGGAAAGAAGAAAATGTGCTTGGGGGGGGGGGTGTGGAGAGGACTTGGAATTTGGGTGGGGTCCAACTGGGCTCCCATTGTTTTGGAGTCCTCCAGGAGGTGGTGCCATCCAGAAAGATGGGTCTGGAGCTCACAGGGGAGGGCTGGGTGGGCCCCAGAGCGTTTGGGAGGTGGACGGAGCCTCTTCTCCCTGCCGCAGATCCCTATGTCTGTCCCGGAAATCAGCTCCTCCCAGCATCCTGTCAAAACCGGCCTATCGGACGCCTTCATGATTCTCAATCCATCCCCGGATGTGCCAGGTGAGTCTCCAGGGACCCCGCAGAGGCCTTGATGGGGGTAGGACTCCGTTCAGACTGAACCTGAGCTGCTGGGGGGATGGCAGTGGCAGGGAGTAGACAAGGGGCAAAGAGCTGACGGGGAAACCAAAGAGGAAAAGAGGCCCAGTGACTTCCAGCTTTTCTTTGTTATAGCAGAGGGACCATCTTCTCCAGCAAAATCTCCAATGGGAGGCACTGCTCTGGTTGTTGAGGGGAAAGGGAGCCACAGCCCTTCCACTCAGCCCCTGTTCCATGTAGAAAACCTCCAAAGATGCCCTAGTAGAGATTTTGAGTCCTCCCAGAACACAACCATCGTGGCCTTCCCACTCCAGGTGATAAAAGGAGCATCATAGGATGCCAGGAGACAGGAATCCAGCCTCGGTCACGCCGTTACCTCCCTGTCCTTCAGCAAACCACATCATCTTTCTAGCCTCAGTTGCCTCATCTACAAAATGGGGGAGTAGCTGAAGCAGTGCTTCTCCCTCCCAGGCCATCTTCCAGTGCTGACATTTTTGGAGATCATAGCTCTTTCTCCCCTGCCCCTGCTGTCGACCCCCACTGCATGCTTCCAAGGGTCTTGGATTTGTACTCCTGGGGAGGTGGCAGGCATCCCATCCACTGCTGCTCCTTCTAGACCCTTGACTCAGAGACTGTTTAACCTGACCTCTTCTGCTGTGCCATATGCACAAGTTCTGCCATGTAGGACCCCGGGAGGTCTGGGGAGGAGCCTTTGTCTGCCCTTCCCACTCCACCTGGGCCTTGATGGGGCCTGGGGGCATACTCAACTCCACTCTCGCCATGCCGGGCTGGATGGAAGGACACCCTTGGGAGCCACCAAGTCACCTTCCTGTAGAGGGGCAAGGTACCGCCGTTCTGTGAAATCAGGGCTTCCCGGGGGAGACATCGTTGCCTATTTCTGTTCAATTCCAGTACTCGTGTTCTGAGTTCCTACCTACACACTGGGCCACTATGTTCCAGGCGCTGTTGAGATACAGGGAAGAGGAAGGGCATCTGCCCTTGAGGCATTCAGCACCTGAGCACAGCCTTTTTTTTTTTTTTTTTTTTGGAAACAAAGTCTTGCTCTGTCATTCGGGATGAATGCAGTAGTGCAATTTCAACTCACTGCAGCCTCCACCTCCCAGGTTCAAGTTATCCTCCCACCTCAGCCTCCCAAATAGCTGGGGCCATAGGCACATGCCACCATGCCTGACTAATTTTGTTATTTTTTGTAGAGACAGGGTCTTGATATGTTTCCCAGGCTTGTCTCAAACTCCTGAACTCACACGATCCTCCCATCTTGGCCTCCCAAAGTGCTGGGATTACAGACATGAGCCACCCTGCCCAGCCAAGCCTCTGTCTTTAACAGAAATTTGAGGGTTGGGGAATAATGGGGCCTTTAATTAATTTATTTATTTTTAATCTGAAGGAAAGGACCAGGGCTTAGTTAAAAGGCTTTACCCAATACCTTCTGTATGCAAAGTTCAGCGGAGTGTTAGGGGCTCAGCTCTGGAACTGGAAGCCTGAGCTGGAGTCCACACTTTCCACAAACATCTGACCTCTGGTGAGTCACTTAAGCAATCTGCATTTATTTCTTTATCTGTAAAATGGGGATAAGAGTGATACTTTGCCCCTACAGCTGCTGCAAATATGCAGGCGATAGTGTATGTAAAGTGTTGGGCCCAATGTCTGGCACATCAGGCTGTGAGTCCTGTATAAGAATATCTTACTGTGGTAAACTTTATAACTCAGTATTTTCTTTTTATTTTTTATTTTTTATTTTTTTTGAGACGGAGTCTCGCTCTGTCGCCCAGGCTGGAGTGCAGTGGCCGGATCTCAGCTCACTGAAAGCTCCGCCTCCCGGGTTCCCGCCATTCTCCTGCCTCAGCCTCCCGAGTAGCTGGGACTACAGGCGCCCGCCACCTCACCCAGCTAGTTTTTTGTATTTTTTAGTAGAGACGGGGTTTCACCGTGTTAGCCAGGACGGTCTCGATCTCCTGACCTCGTGATCCACCCGTCTTGGCCTCCCAAAGTGCTGGGATTACAGGCTTGAGCCACTGCGCCCGGCCAATAACTCAGTATTTTATAATCCAACAGGACACCTGGTTCTGTAGCAAACAGTGCAGGACTCGGAACAAGCGGAGTCCTCATACTGTGTTGCAGGTCAGATGCTGCCACCACAGTAATTTCATACTTTCATGCAGCTTTTGTGACTAGGGACAAAAAGTCGCATGTGGTAGTGGCACAGAGTTTCCATACCTTTACTTGTTTGCACATCCCTCTTTGAGATTTTTGCCATTTCTGTGAATTACTATTCTATTTTTTGAGATGGAGTCTCGCTCTGTTGCCCAGGCAGTGCAGTGGCGCGATCTTGGCTCACTACAACCTTTGCCTCCTGGGTTCAAGTGATTCTCCTGCTTCAGCCTCTTGAGTAGCTGGGTTTACGGGTGCCTGCCACCATGCCTGGCTAATTTTTGTATTTTTAGTAAAGATGGGGTTTCACCATGTCGTCCAGGCTGGTCTCGAACTCCTGACCTCAGGTGATCTGCCTGCCTCGGTCTCCCAAAGTGCTGGGATTACAGGAGTCAGCCACCATGCCCAGCCATGAATTACTATCCATTATTATTATTATTATTATTATTAGAGACAGGGTCTCAGGCTGGAGTGCAGTATCCCTCATAGTAGCTCACTGCAGCCTCAAACACTTGGGCTCAAGCCATCCTCCCATCTCAGCCTCCCAAGAAATTGGGGCCACAGGCACATGCCACCATGCCCGGCTAATCTTTAAATTTTGTTTGTAGAGATGGACAGGGTCTTCCTATGTTGCCTGGGGTGGTCTCAGACTCCTGGGCTCAAGCTAACCTCCCCTGCAAGCCTCCCAATGTGCTGGGACTTCTGGCCTGGGTCACTGTGCCCAGCCTATTTACTAATGCATTTCTTTATCTTCATTTATAAAATTATATTTTTTCATGAATAAATGTGTCTAGTCTAAAATGCAAAAGATATAAAAGGATGTACAGAGATTAGATTTTTCACCTGCCCCTGAACTCTGTCTCTGTTTCCTGTCTCTCATTTCCCCTCCCTGGAGGCAAAGGGAGGGGAAACCAGGGTTCTGGGTTATCTCCAGAGCTGCAAGCCTTCAGGTGTGTGTGTGTGTGTGTGTGTGTGTGTGTGTGTGTGTATTTGATAGTATATGATGTCTGTGGTTCTGCACTTGAACAGAGTACATCCTGCCTGCTGTTCTGTCTCAGCACATAGTGAGCTGCTTCATTCTTCTCCTTAATGGCTGCGTGATAGTCCATTCCATGGATGGACTTTAATTTAACCTGTCCCCTGGGGGTAGACTTTTCAGTTGTTTTTAATCTTGGGCTATAACAAATAATACAGCCGGGCGCGGTGGTTCACGCCTGTAATCCCAGCACTTTGGGAGGCCGAGGCGGGCGGATCACAAGGTCAGGAGATCGAGACCACGGTGAAACCCCGTCTCTACTAAAAATACAAAAAATTAGCCGGGCGCGGTGGCAGGCGCCTGTAGTCCCAGCTACTCAGGAGGCTGAGGCAGAAGAATGGCATGAACCCGGGAGGCGGAGCTTGCAGTGAGCCGAGATCGCGCCACTGCACTCCAGCCTGGGTGACAGAGCGAGACTCCGTCTCGAAAAAAACCAAACAAACAAACAAATAATACAGTAGGTACTTTCATGCCCCTGTGTATTTCCATACACTATATTCTCAGTAGTTCAATCATTGGGTCAAAGGGCAGGGGCATTTACAATTTTGACAGCTGTGGCCAAAGTGTGTTCCATGGAGACTCCAGCCCTCTACCCACCTCATCGGTGGGCATGCCTGTCACCTACTCTTCTGCTTTCCGTGTGTCCCAAGGCAAGGTCTGGGCTGTGGCTGCTGCCATCTAATGAGTTGCCTCGAGCCCCCCCAAGGGCTGTGGTGAGAATTGGCTGAGATATCTGTGCACAGAGCACCAGGCACAGTGCCCGGCTTGGGCAGGTTGCCCAGTAAAGGCTGGTTAGCACCCACTGAGCATCTCGCCCTGGTCCACATCTTCATCTGGGCAGATCCGTGGGTGGGGTGGGTGGCACTCAAGGGTCAAGGGGCTGGTGAATGGGCCTGGTTTATTCCCAACAGGCCAGGAGTTCTCACATGTGGTGGCTCACACATGTAATCCCAGCACTTTGGGAGGCTGAGATGGGCAGATCACCAGGTCAGGAGATCGAGACCATTCTGGCTAACACGGTGAGACCCCATTTCTACTAAAAATAAAAAATAAAAAATGAAAAAAATTAGCCAGGTGTGGTGGCAGGTGCCTGTAGTCCCAGCTACTTGGGAGGTGGAGAATGGTGTGAACCCGGGAGGCGGAGCTTGCAGTGAGCTGAGATTGCGCCACTGCACTCCAGCCTGGGTGACAGAGCGAGATTCTGTCTCAAAAAAAAAAAAAAAAAAAAAAAAAAAAATTAGCTGGGTGTGGTGACGGGCACCTATAATCCCAGTTACTCGGGAGGCTGAGGCAGGAAAATTACATGAACCCGAGGGGCAGAGCTTGCAGTGAGCCTAGATCGCACCATTTCAGTCCTCACACCACTCACTCACCATTTCACTGGGTGAAAGAGTGAAACTCTGTCTCAAAAAAAAGAAAAAAAAGTGTTAGCCAGGGTCACAGTTACCCCCATGATGGGGTGGCAGGTGGGGAGGGTTGGGACCTGCTTCAGAACTTTCATGTGGCTTGGCAGGATTCAGGATTCAAGATGCAGGATTCAGGATTCAGGATTCAGTTCCCCAAGGAGGCCTTCTTTGGCTCCTTGCCTGGTAAACTTCCCCATGATGCGGCAGCTGGCTTCCATCAGAATAGGCAAGCGAGACAGCAGCAGAGGGCGAGGAAGATGCAAACCAGGGTCTTTTTATAGCTTAATTTTAGAAGTAACATCCTCTCTTTTTTTTTTTTTTTTTTTTTTTTTTGCCATATTCTGCTGGCT